TTATAGCTACAAGATAATGTTGCTATAATTCACACATAATCACACTGTATAAACAAAAGCATTTAATTTTGTATATCCATGTCCTCATAATAGCACATGTGTAAAAATATATAGGTCCTCATATTAATCTATAGCTTAATAATATATCAATGTCCTTGAAATACCATATATGCTAAATCGTTTACCCCGAGATGTATTATTATATTAACATATATTTTACCTAGTAAACACAATGTTACATGTAACGTACATGTTAGTTGTAATTTTCTACTCAACAATATAACTGTTATATAACATATAATAGTTATGTAATAGTTATATTGTTGAGTAGGAAATTACAACTAACATGTATGTTACATGTAACGTACATGTTAGTTGTAATTTTCTACTCAACAATATAACTGTTATATAACATATAATAGTTATGTAATAGTTATATTGTTGAGTAGGAAATTACAACTAACATGTATGTTACATGTAACGTACATGTTAGTTGTAATTTTCTACTCAACAATATAACTGTTATATAACATATAATAGTTATGTAATAGTTATATTGTTGAGTAGGAAATTACAACTAACATGTACGTTACATGTAACATTGTGTTTGCTGAATATTTACATTTTATTCTCACATTTTTTAAGACAAAATATCTCGTAATGAAATATATGTATATGAAATATCTCGTAAGCTCATTTTTTGATAATATCACTTTATTACTTTTATATAATGATAGGTGAAATCGATTGTTGTAAGAAAAACAGAAAAATCTTCAAAAAATAATGTTACATTTTGTAGATTCATCGATGTACTAGTATACAAATATTATCGCTAATTTAATTTTGTAACCGCGATGCGTCGTGTTCCGGATCGCTCGCCGGTTCGGGTTCGCAGGAGATGGAAATAATTTCAGAGACAGTCGATTAAATAAGTAAATTAAAAATATATATTTAAACTCAATTAATGAGGTACAATGGAACCGAAGTTGAGTGTCGATGTCGTTGGTTTTCGTCGTTGTGTTTACAATAGGCCAGCGGCCTTGTTGAGGCGATGGCTTGCGAGAGGCTATGCGTGGTGCGCGGGATGCGGTCGGTGTTATGATCGCGTCGAGAGTGTGTCTGTTGATATTCTCAGCTGTTCGCCTCTTTGATACCGGTGTACAAGTTCTTTCGCTTAGTTATCTGCTACTCGATGCAGCTCGGTTTATGCGGTATATCGTTGCAACTGAGCTGCTCGTGGTGGATCGCTTCGATGGAGATCCCTCGGATCTCCTATCGCGGAGATTCGATGCAATTTCGTATATACGGTGCAGAAGTCCGCCTGTGTATGCGGAATCTCTGCTGTCGGCTCGGCCTTTGTTATGGAACGAGACCGACTCGTTCTATTCTGATCGCGGGTGCGGTGAAGCCGGTGTCGTGGACGCGCCTATGCGTCGCGATACGCTTCCGATCTCGCTTACGGAGATCGGTTCGATGATTATCGCGGAGGTCGACTTGCGTCTCTGCGAGTCGACGACGATGTGATCCTGACGTGGATCCTTCAGAAAGCGGTGGCGAAGCTGCGCTGCAACGGAGCGCGACTTCACGAATACGGTGACGAGTTGCACACGGCGATTCGCTATCGATATGGTCTCGCTCGCGCTAAGGCGAAGACAAGATCCGGTGAGTGATATGAAGGGTGCGTTTTAAGCGCCCTTCCGGTGCGGTGATTCCAGACCCTTCGATGGCCGTGGAATCTGACGGCTAATGGTATTGTATCAGTGTCGGCGTCACGAATCCGTGAATCGACGGCGGAGTGATTTCAGTCGCGAATCCGCGAACAGAAATCTGCCAGGAACGGTCTAGAGAACAGTGTCGATTTCACGAATCCGTGAGTCGACGGCGGAGTGATTTCAGTCACGAATCCGCGAACAGAAATCTGCCAGGAACAGATACGAAAAACAGTGTCGATGTCACGAATCCGTGAGTCGACGGCGGAGTGATTGAGTTCGCTAATCCGCGAGTCGTAATCTGCCAGGAATAGGTACTGGTGGATCTCTTTCGAGAGCGGATGATCGGAATCTGATTCTCTCGGAAGAGCGATAGATTGGATCTGATCTCGATTACAATTCGCAGCGTTTTATATATTGCGAATCACGCTCGATTCGCTGTTTACCACGGATGTTCGGTGGCTGCGTTGTTTACTAGCAA